GGAAGGTTTGGAAAGGAAAGCTGAGATGATTGATGAATCACAGTTCATCTCGGTGCACCACCACTGAAAAAGTGTAATTAGATATTTGTCATCAAAGTCCTCTATCCAACCCCTAATTCCCGTTACGCTTGTCTCTGCAGCATTTCTTCTCTGTCACACAAAGCTATATTTTTCTTTCTTCTTATTATCTCTCTACCCTCTTTGTCTCTTTTTTTCTTCTTGTTTCATAATTCTGTCTTATTCTCTTTCTGACAAAAAAGGCCTCTTTTCACATTTTTTGCCATCTTCATGTCCTTTCAAGCTCTTTCATTGTTGCCCATGTGTCTTTCTTTCTCCTTCACTCTTGTTCTTTAATCTTCACACTTTGTACTTTTGTCATTTATTTTCCTGCTCTTTCTAGATGTTCTTATCCTCACCTCACAGTATGCTACTGTCCCTCCCTGACTCTCATTCAATTCAGATCGAAACAATGTAACCATTTTTCAAAAAACATTTTAGGAGCAGTCTGCAGAAGGGAGCAATTTCCATAGACCCCCATGTTAAGATGCCCAACTTTACAGCAGAAATAAACATGTTTACATTGTGGTTCAAAAAACCATATTCTCTGTATAGTTAGATTCCCCCTTCATGACTATTGATTGGGGGGTGAATTTTTTCTCAACTCATCTGTTTAAATAATATTCAGTCTTAAAGTTGTGCATACATTAGGGCGTGGTCACATTGAGTGACAGCTCTGTCAAGTGACTACTGCTGTTAGCTTCTTGTCTCTCTGCTAGCAGCTCCGTGATGCTACACGGACTCTGCCTGCTCAGTTCATCCGGGGGACATAACTTGAACTCTGCCGTGTTTGTTTGTTCTTCATGCTTATATATCGGACTATTGTGACTAGCTCTGCGGTTAAAACAGACGGTGCATGAATGTGGTTTTACGGTAATTGAAATTCGACTACTTTATTTATGTGTTTATGATTTTAATCAGCTACGTAATTAATGTTAAGGCTTGGGTTAGCGTGTTAGCGAGTGGTAGCTAGCTAGACCTATGCTAACGATGCTAATTGTAGCCTCCAAGTTAAAACCAAATAGAGAAGTGTTAACCGTTAAGTGGGATAATACTGTAGAACTAACGGCTTCTGTTGGAGGTTGGTAAAATAAGCTCATCCTTGTAACTTAGAGAGATATTTTTATTATGTAGGTAACTGTATGCATCAATAAGGTTAATTTAAATTCGCTATGCTTGAGTATGTAGACAATCTAACGTCAAAGTAGTTTTGAATAGCAACGTGGTGTATGTGAAATCAACCTCACAATAAGATGTGTGTAATACAATTATTGTCATATTTCAAGATGATTATACTTAGATTACAATATGGTTTGTTGAGCTGGAGTTCATTATTGAGTCTTTAGTCATATCTGAAGAATGAACCCAAACCTTGTTGTTTTTATTAATTGTATTAGCAAATTGGTATCAAATAAATAGTAAGCATTTGTAATACCAATTCTTATTATTTATTTGATTGTCATTACAATTGTGAAACCGACTAATTGTGGCTGTAGAACGTGAAAAGACCAGTACAGGACATTCACTAATAAACTACACTTTTATTGTGAAAACAAAGATCTGCACACCGAATATTTTTGTAGTCTATAAGGACCATCATTTGTTTGTGACGGTGTGGTTATTGTCAAAAACACAGTCAGCTGATCGAATGCACCTATTTCCACATCTACACTCCATCAGCTGATTATTTCTATTTGCCTCACTTTATGAGCTTCACATCACTTTTGCCTTGTACCGCAGAGTTTGCAACGTCACAAATAAATGGGGCCAATCTTCAGTCAGATGTGAATGTGTAATCTAACATTTTCAGTAAGAGTAATGGACAAAAGGAGTGCAAATACAAATACAATTGATTGAAATGTGAACCAAAAGTTAATCAAACATGTTTTAAATAAAAAGCACATATGGACGCACATATGGACAGAAGGTGTAAACCTATTAAATGTATAAGTAAACACATTTAGTCAAATAAAGTGACAGACTAGGCCTGTGCAGTTGGTATCAGCTTTAGCCCAGCATGGGCTCCTCCATCCGGCCTGGTCCTCCTCGCAGACGAAAGCCCTCAGTCCTCTCCGGGCCAAACCACAGACAGGACGTCCATCACACGGAGGTTTCTCCCTGAAGTCTCTGCCAGCTTTCTGGACACCAC